TACAGGCGAGTTAGAGCAATACAGGTGAGTTAGGTGATTCTGAATAGAGCAATAGATGATACCAGGCAAGTTACATCATTGTAAATGTAGTTATGGATGACAGGTGAGTTAGGAGAGTCTGGATAGAATAGTATATGATGACAGGTGAGTTAGGCGAGATGGTTTATTAGATTTATATGTACAATATCAACTTGTGTCCAAACTCTTGTCGTAATTCTGAATTGTAGGCAGCTGAACACACAATTTTACACTTGTGTAATTAATGCACTATTTTTAGAATCATCACGACCTTAGAGACATTGAAGAAGGAAGCTGCTGATGTGACGAGAAAGGTTGAGGAAACTGATGTGATTATGGCAGAAGTGGAAACAACATCACAAAAGTATATGCCACTGTCACAATCTTGTAGCAGTATCTACTTTACATTGGAAGCAGGTCACCAAGTGAGTGCATTGTAACACATTATTAAAACACCATACTGTGATATTATACAATGATGGATAAGGAAAGTTGTCATAGTTGTATCAGATTGTTAATCAGCAATTATGTATGTTGTATGTACTATCTTTATTGATAGCATATATACATGTAGCCATAATGAAATATGCTGTGTATATTATGGTCATTTGTTTCCATGTTATTTTGCTCCACTACTTTTCCCTGTGTAATGTACGTATTGTTGTTTTCAGGTTCATTTCCTCTACCAATATTCCCTGCAGTTTTTCTTGGATATATTCCATGGTGTACTATGTGATAACCCAGATCTAAAAGGAGTGTCTGATTACTCCGCTCGACTATCTATCATCACAAAGGATTTATTCCAGGTAATTTTTGTGTCATCTTGTGCACCAACAATACACACTTCTCTGGTCTACGCTAGGCTGGATTGGTCACATACAAGTATCTTGTCATTAGCAATACCACGAATAAACCCAAATAAGTTTCAGTTAGCTTTTAGTCAGAACTAATTTGTTTACTTCAAAAGACTTGATTGCTTTCTTATTATTAGCAAGATGTTAGCTTTCTGATAGATTTGTGTATTTGCAATTCTCTCACTTGTCACTTGATGTTGTCAATACATACATGTTTTTTTGACATTTTAACTGTAGTCCTAATTTCAATAGTTATTTGAAAAATAGCTAATTTGTTATTTTTGTTTTCTTTAGATGGCCTACAATCGAGTTGCTCGTGGAATGTTGCATACAGATAGAATTACTTTTGCTGTGTTGATGTGCAAGATATATCTCAAAGGAGTTGCAAGGTATAATGTCTCTACATGAAATCATGGGTTGATAAATAAGGATATCTAATATCAATGTATTGTAGTGAGGACAATTACATGCAAATTTGCAGTCTCAATAAATTGTCTTGACATCTTTCCTTCTTTTAGGTTCTCAAATGTCAATTCAGCCAAATACAGACAATGTCAATTGACATAGTGGTTGATTTGCAGCCATCATATTTTCAAGAAGGTTGATCTGAAAATATGCTTTAACTGATTGCATGCAAACATGACACCTGCATAATACACCATGTCACATACATTGGTAAAACTTCTGATGGCTGACTTGCATCTAACAAAAAAACATGCACCATGAATGTCTTTTGTGGATGGATTTTGTTCCTAACTATTATATTTAATCTGCCACACATTATGAATGATTACATTTCCCATTTGTTAATTTGTCACAGAACTTATGTAAACGTGCACTCCTATAAACTTGCATTGAAAACAGACGGGCAGTGTGTCTTGTTTGTGGAAAATTTCAAATGAATCTTGTTTTCACCATAAATTATGAATATGTTGACTTCATCGATTTTGTTATGTGTTGATTATTTGCATGGCTTTGAATACACCTTATAATAGTAAATTTGCACTCTTATTGACACTTAGTAATCATTGCATATGGCTTTGGTGGGATTATTCAACCATGTATGCTTGTGAATGGGGCATATTGCTGAAATCATAATCAATAATGTTGTGCCTCATTTCCTGATAAGTTATAGAGGGTGTCAATGGTGCTGACTTTCTTAGATGGCGCCAGCTCCAATCAGTTAGCCAATTCGCTAGCGTGTTTCAGACTGCGTCCGAACGGGGACTAAAAAAGAGAGAAGGTCAAGGTGAGGGGGCGACGCTATATTACCTCGGTCACGTGGTTCGTGACATAAGGGAAAATAATCTTGGGGTCATGGGGCTTCCCCTGACCTAGATTTTATCTCTCCGTCATTGGCAGAATCGCTGATTAATGCCTACAGTTCGAAATAGTCATTTTGACTGACCTGAGTCTATAGTGGGTGTTCTAGAGCAGTATCTCCCAATATGGACAAGTACTTGTTGACGATCAGATACAAATGTCATTCATTTTAATGTTAAACAATCATCATAATCATATTCCTGACATGGTTATATTCCAGCTATATTACTATAAACAAAACTATATATCTTAAATTTGATAACTAACTGGGACTGTGCCATGCATGGCTTGTTTTTCCCGTATCGACGGGGATGAAGTCTAGCGGCTCTGCCTGGATAGCCTGCCTTTTCTTGTCTGGGTTTCTGGCTTGTGTTGCTACTGCGGCCAGCGGTAGCCGGCACTGTTGCTGGTAGGATAAGTTTTTCTTATTTTTTACCTCGTGTCGATTTCCCCTTTTGTGTGTATAATTTTTCACAACAAAGAAGATAAAACCCAGCGACACAACTTAACAACGTTGTTGGCTTTTGTTACGTCACCTTTTCCAACTGTATTTCGCTTTCCTCATGTATGTCGTGTTCTTTTTATGCTTTACCAATGTATGTAGAAATGGATAGATGTAATGACAGCACCAGAGGCTCGCCGTCGGTTTTGTCTCCTCCGACTGTGCAGTGGTTATAATCAGAATTTACCAGCATAGAACCCACATCCGAA